ACCCGCGGGGGCCCGCGGTCCCCCGTCGGCGCGATGCCCCCTCCGAATTAAAATGCAACTCGTCCGTTGCGCTTTATCAACGATCTTTTTCTCTCCGCGCGCGCGCGCGATGACTTTCTACCTCGTAAATAATTTATAGCGCGCAATCGCGAATAGATATTTATAATGTAACAAAATCCAATAATTGAACTAGCGTTTATGCATTTAGAGGCGACCGTTATTTACCGACTGCTCACTTAAAGGTGGATGAGAGAGAGACCGCGGTCGGGGATTAAAATTAGACGTATCTAATTTTCATCGCGCTCGTCGTATGCAACTTTCAAGAATGTACGAAGTATGCTAAAATTACGGGAAGTAGACCTCTCTTATTCTCGGAGAGCGGCACTTTTCTACACGGTGAATCATTTACAACGCCGTAACTAACTGTGACTCGTCAAGATTAATCTTTCGGCGAAAGAAGAAAACGGGAAGCTGCACGACGGCGCAGCGAAATCGCGTGCTCTCTACAACGAAGGTACTATTCTTTGCGGCGATTTAAGTAAAACGCTTATCAAGAGTTAACTCGAATACCGATTTCGAGTGAACGCGGATTTATCGTTTCCCAACGAAAAGCTGTTTTAATGACCGAAAATAATCGGCGCGAAATAATATACAAAATTCACGCGGAAATATTTAGTCCGTTCTTTTTCGAAGAACTTTCCGAACTGGTGCACATTGATGCAATAAGTTAGAGTTAGAGTGAGACAAAATATCTCACTCTAACTTATTCACTGAGAAAACAATTTTTTAGATCCAAGAAAATACTTCTTTGAATAGTACTAATAACATATTTACTTAATATAATCACATATTGTAAAAATATCTAATTCTAAATAAATATGTGATTTTATTAAGTAAATATGTTATTAGTACTATTCAAAGAAATATTTTCTTGGATCTAAACATTTTTTTCTCAGTGATTGCAGCACTAAGGTGTACCAGTTCAAGAAATTCTTCGATAAAGAATAAATTTATGATTATTATTACCTACCAAGATCCAGCCCGAAAATGACATCTTCTCTATTAATTAAAGATCTCTGATCTTTTCTACTGATTAATTGAAGGTACTATGTTTTTTCCCCGGAATTGCGCGCCGAAGTAATTATCGTAAAAATTCAAAAAATGCTCACAGAGTTTAACAACAAACGCTCGAATATTCGAATCTGCTTAATTATTTAAACGACGAATCGCCGCGACCACGTCGAAATTTTCGACGAGTTTCCACACTACCGCGATTCGATCTCTTGTAATACTTTCAATGTTGTACATCGCAATAAATTTATCATTTTTACCACGTTATAGCGAGCGCGCACGATAAAAACTAATACAACGGCTCACACTGCAAATCCCACGTTCCACCGATATTGGAAGAAGCGCGATACTTTCTGTGCGCGCCCGCAGAAAATAATTTCCTCCTCGCCGGGCCCGTCCTTTTTACCGCGATAAATAAAAAAAAAATAAAAAATAAATACATATATATATAAATCCGTCAGAAGAGGGACGTTCCGTCGTACTTCACTATGTCCTCCGCTCCTTTTCCGGCTCCGTTTCTTTATCCTGGTCGTGTTCTTTCTTTCACCCGGAGCCTCGCAGAAATAATCGTCCGAGAGCACGAGAGGAGCTGTTCGAAAAAATGCCTTGGCGAGAATGGGACGACACGGGACGGGGAAGGGCGGTGGAGGGAAGAATGTGAATTTCGGGCCGTATACCTGCACAACAAGGACCGCCGGGCCGCTTCCTGCGGTGGGCATATGGCGAAGGGAAAAGAGGCCAGAAGGGATTCGGAGAGGGTACCGGGGGGTTTCCCGGAAGGTTCTCACGGTCAATAGCTTTCCCGGCGGCATGCGGCTGGAAAGTGCTCGAAGGGGCTGCCTTTTCTCCCCTCCCCTCTTCCCTTTGTCCCTTCTGCCGCCATCGTCGTCTCTATACGTGTCCTTTTCCGTCCTTGCCCGTAGGCTACGTTCTCTCGCATTTTGTTTGCCTGCCCTTTTGGTCTCCGGTATTTCGAAAATGGAAATAATTTTTCATTTACGGAACTTATCCTCTCCCCGGAGACAAAAAACAACAAACGAAGCTTAACAAGGGTTTTCTTTTCTAAATCAGGTATCCTTCGGGGAAAAACGGACAAACGGACGACAAAAGAACACAGGTCAGGGAAAGGAAAACGAAGAGACTCGAGGTTTTACCTCGGCGACGTTATTCCGGTGGCCAATTAACGTTCGCGATCCGCGCGAAATTACTATTCGTGGCTATCAATGGAAATCGATATCGCCGTTGGCGGTTTCGGCGACGAGGGCCAACAGTCGCCGCCGCCGTCATCTCGTCGTCGTCGTCGCCGGATAACAATTACGCGGGAAAACCGTGGTATACACGATGCATGCGCGACGGGGATAACGGGGGGGAGCCGAGGGGAAACGAGAGCGGAAATCGGGAAAACTCGCGCGCGGCGCGCGGACGGACGTCTCGGGACAATTCCGCGGCTTCCGGTCTCGCGGAAAAATTTGCTTCCGCCAAAACCTTTGTCTCGAGAGATTCGCTGCTTCTCCCCCTCCGCCCGATCGAGCGGCGGAAACGGAGAAACGGAGAACGAGAGCGGCGCGCACAAAATATTCCGAGGAAAATCTGAGAAATGCGGAGCGTTCGGAGCATTCTTTCGGTTTTCCGACGGAGAAAATTCAGGAAAATTCGGGATAGATTCTGGAAGACGTTCCTCGCAATTTTTTTAGGAGTCGGCGCGTCGCCCGCGCGCTTTTCCTCGAGCTCTTCCTCTCCCTTCGGGTGTTTGCGTGTCACCTCTCTCGGGTTACGCGCACTTCTCATTGTTTGTTACTTGCTGGACCTACGCGCGTATCCATTTACCCATCTCCGCTCAAGGGAACTCTGTATCACGGAGTGCATAACGCTTTCTTTCTCCTTTCGCCCCTCGCGCTCATCATTCTCTCTCTCTCTCTCGACCGCGCGCACCTTTACGCATTCTCGCATACATTCACGCACCGCGTATACACATCCGATGCCGTGTTTTCTGTTGCGTATGCATTCCCCGTACATCCGTCGGCGCGCGGGTGTATCTGCACCGTTTTCGTAACGCGCCGTTGTTTCTCGGGCACTCTCGCTAATAATTAACGCTTTTCCACTCTCCTCCTATCTCTTTCTCTCTCATAACGCGCGCACGTATGTACGTGTTCTTCCCGCCGAAACCTCCCGGCGCCGTACTCCCGCGCTCCCGCGAGGCTCATTCACGCCGCGAGCGCTTTTGACACGCGAGAAACGGACGGAGGCCGCGACCGCGATTGTTTATGCCTCTCGGGCGGCCGAGCCGGCGGAAATAACCCGCGGAAATAATCGACCGGCGAACGCGTGCCGTCGGGACGCGGGAGGAAACGGTGTGTGTAGTTGGCGAAAACGCCGGAATATTTTTTTTTCCACGGAGTCGCGCGTACGTTCACCCAACTCCCGCGCCCGGAGTCACACACACACGTATGTACACACACACGGTCGTTCGAAAACGAAAGAGGAAGAGACGAGGCTGGGTGGGCGCGAGACGAGGAGGAAAAAACAACATCGTCGTTCTCGCTCGCCGTGTGCCGTGTCTGGCTCTCTGCTCCGTTCCGATATATCTCCTCGTTCTTGACAGACGAAGCGAGAGCCGGAGCGAGACGGCGAGAGGAGCGCGAGCGCGGGAGCGAGCGAGAGAGGACGGGACGAGACGAACGAACGGATGGGAACGGGAGAGACGAGACGGGTAACAACACCGCGGATTCCGCGGGGTAATATTTACGCGGCGCGTAAATGTAATGGCGCCAGACCTACCGTGTATCGATACTGCGCGTCCGACGTTTCCCTAGTCGCACTGTCCCGTCCGCGTCGGCCGGCACTTTCACACATATATTTCAACGATGCGAGCGGCGGTCGAAAATTTTCGGCGCAGCGACCATGTATAAACCGTACACCGACACGGGTCCCCCTTGACGGAACTGAGGCACAACGTTGGTTGACACGAGCTCGCCCGTGAACAAAGACCACAAGATTTCAAATCCCGCCGCGCCGATTGGCCGGCCGCGGTCACGTGGCCGAGGCGCCCGGCGTCCTATTGGCCGGCCGCCACGGGGGTGCGAGGACGTTTTGAACGATGCGCCGCAATGCACATGGCTGACAAAGGCGGACTTGCCGCGGGGGAGTCCTCGGCCCGGATCGGGCGCCCACGATTGTCCGTCGAACCCGCCGTCGACGGCGATCGACGGGGCCCTCCTTTCGCGCGCGCACCCGCGACTACACGCCGAGCGTGCTCCTCGGGCGCGCACTCGGGCCTCCCTAACCTTCCCCACTCGCAAAAATGGCCGAACCCAAAACAACACCGCGCGCGCGGGGAACGTCACTCGTCGACGACCGCACGTAAACCCGACGTATTCCCGGCGCGCCGGTACTCGCGAGCGGCACCGCGCGATTCCTCCGGCTCCACGCGACGCTCGCCACCCGCCGAATCGTTCGCGAGCACGGTCGCGAGCGCGGCGAATAATCGCCGTGTACGAGATTGAAAACGGACGGGCGAGTCCATTGCGGCCACTACGGAGGGGAGTCGGGGCAGGCTTCCCCGGTTAAGAATGAAACACTGTGCGCGCCGCGATAATGGCGGGAAGGTACGTGTACACACGCGCGCACGCGGCACATGGGTGTATTTATTGACTCGGAGAGAGAAAGAGAGAGGGAGAGATAGATAGATAGAGAGGGAGAGGGAGAGAGCAGGCGGATAACACACGCGCGCACTACTTCGTCCGTACTGTTCTTCTCCCGGACCCTTCCTCTTCGCTCCACGCGGCCGAATTTCGCGCGAAATTTCTCACGTTTCTCCTTCCGTTCCCCGGGCGCTTATTTTTTTGTTCCTTCGACGTGCAAACGTCCAGGTCTTTTACCTCCAAAATCAATAGATGGTCTCTTATATATATGCGAATCTATATCTCTCGTACATATATTTCTCCGTACCTTTATTCGTAACATATTTGCTCACCACCTGAATACATCTCTCTCTCTGCAATACTTCCTTAAAATACGTATTACAAAACATTTCGATTATTTCAGTCTATTTAATTTCGTCGTTTCAACGTACACAGGGCGTTCGTGGCTCCGTTTCCCTCGGTGGTTCGATCTTGAGTCTCCATCGCGAAGGTACACGCTTCTGTGTGCATTTTAATCAGCCTTACAAAAATATCTTCTCTAAATATATAATATCTGTACATATATTTCATGCGAGTACTGTATTTACTGCGAGTACTTCACTGGAAGAAATTATAATGCGAAGGAATTTCTCTATACTTTTAGAGATTGCTTTGGTTCCGTTTACAGCACTGTTGTTCTCTTTACTGTCTTCATCAAATTCTTGAGCGTTTGATTCTGTATTAACAATCCACCAAATTCCATATTGCCTTGACAACGTCGTTATTCATGCATCCATGTCCAACTTCCATTTATCTTCTGAATTTGATATTCTTTGCCGTTCGCCATTTTGAGATTTGAATTATTGCTCGTTGTCTCTTCACAAATATTTGCTTCACTCTCCTTCTCTTATATTGCTTCTCATTCGAATAAATATCTTCAAACATATCCATCCAACAATAAAATTTGAAATAGGCGTAACATCTATATATAAATGCAATGTAGAAATATATATATTTATATATTGACTCAGTATATTATTGCACGTTAATTGCGATCTCTTGAATGCAACAGACTAATAAGCTTATCAGTGGTAAAAATCAGGCCGAACGAGCTACTAGCTAGCTCCAAATATCCGACTATGGCACTTTTGGTATCTGATGTGTAGCATACTGGGCGTCCGTTTAAACACTTGCAACGCTCGGTATTATTTTGGTATATATCTCAATTCCATTCAGGAATACATCCTTGTTCAGATACTCGTCGTGATCGTGAAGAAGTATCTTTGTCCTGTTCATTGGTGAAAAGCAAAGAGCAGGAATGCCCACCTGTAAAGTAAATATATCCAAAGTTATACCTTATGAAATATATATAATTATAATGTATTAAAAATCATGGCTCATCTAATATAATCTATATCGTTCATAATTAATATGAAGATATAATCTTAATTTAAACGTGACGTGTAATTTGTTAGCAATAACTTCTTGTTTTAATGAAAACCATGTGTCATTACTTATTTTAATTTTAAAACTGCTTAAATTGCGTGATCCTTAATCAAAAGTCTAAATATAATATGCTTATTAACTTCAGCTACAGCCAGGAGCCTGTTGCATAATAATGATTTACAAGTTAATGATACAAGTTATTTTACATGTTATTTCAGTAATATTATTAACTTGTAGATCATTATGCAACAGGCCCCAGGAAGTGGTATCAAAAGTTTGAATACATATAAATAACAAAAAATCTATAAAAATATTAAATACATTTACAAAAATTGTTAGGTTAAAATTCTTTAAATAACAGTTTCTTGAGTAAATATAAAACAAAGCAGAATGCGTAAGTTTTATAAATAAATATTGCACATATTAATATATAATATGTAATAATTACAATAAAATAATAATAATAATAATAATAATAATAATAATAATACATATCCCTTCTGCTGTGCGTAATGTACTTAACAGTAAAATTTCGCACAAAGAACAGTCCGATGCTTACCTCTCGCACAAAACGACTATCTGTGCCTCCTGGGAAAATGCCAGTTTCCAAATCGACACCAATTTCATCACAAGTCTCTTTAAAGGCAATCCAGAAGGGATTAGAATCATCGAGCTTGGTGCTTTCGATTTTAGGATTTTTCTGTTCGAAGGAGTAGGTTACATCTGGCCCAGCTTCCTCGCACCAGCGCTTGATAGTAGCTTCGAATTCCTCGTGATCAACGGAAGGTGTTAGGCGGACATCGAACACAGCACTGAGGTCGGTGGGTATAACATTGGACTGTACACCACCCTGTAAAGGAATTTAACAGGTTAAAATCAGTTGACGATCACATAAGCAGATAAATGAGGAATATAGAATTTGATAAAAACGTAAAGTGGTAAAATAAAGTCTTAACGTAATTACAAAGTAAGAAATAATAATGTGGGAAATAGTATATTCCCAGATAGCACCATGTCCAAAATCGGGACGTAAACCGTCTTCTAGCCATCATTTCGTAAGACGTCTAAAAGATGTCTTTTAGACGTCTTGTGTCCTGATTTTGGACATGCGTACTGTCTGGGTTATCATCAACGTTAATTGCAAGTATTATTACAACATCGAAATACTTACTGTGCAATATGAAAATCCCAATGGAACAGACATACAAAGTAAACAAGTATCATGTAATGGCTTGAAAATTGAAACTAAACAATCTATTTGTCTTCTTCATTAGTACGTGAATTCAGTATAGAATCTTATTTCACATTTATTCTCTATACAATGAATTCAATATAAAAGTAAATGAAAGAAAAGGGAGATAACGATTCTATTCGTGATTGTTGAATATAAACGAATTGATAAATGTCTCTTAGATAAAATTTTTAACCGAAAACAATTTATTTCCGTGATACCTACCCAAATTTTCGTCAGATTTACAGACGTCACCCCGCCGAGTGTAACCGCCAATTTCTTAGGGTCTTTATCAAGTTTCGCTTTTTCGGAGGCTCTGAAGTCCATGAAGCGATCGATTACGACTCTCAATTTTTCTCCAGCCGTGTTGTCTAGCATAATTGATCCGTGACCGGGATTGCCCGCGCACTTTATTTCAATGTGCCAGATCGACCTTTCTCCGTTGAACATGTAGTAGTTCTCGAACGGACTGGCCACACCTTCATCCAGCGCAAAACCGACGTTCAGGGCTTTGAAGTCGGCGGTGTGCACAAAGTCTTTCATTCCCAGAACACCGCCGATCTCCTCGTCCGGGACAAAAGAGACGTGGATAGTTCGTTGGCAGCGTTGTCCATTCAGTTTCAATCTGCGAATCGCCTCCAAGTACTGTATTCCCACGCACTTCATGTCTTGGCTGCCGCGAGCGTAGATGTTGCCCTGCTCGTCCATGTGAGCGCTGAACGGCGGATAGGTCCATTTGTCCTGGGGTCCAGTTATACGATTAGTATTAGGAACCGGCAAGTTGATTACGCGACTGAACAGCTATTTACATTCGCAACATCTTTATCGCAAGTCAAAGCACTTACCTCGAAGACAGGTACAACGTCCATGTGACTGTTCAATAGAATCGATGATTTCGTCGGTTGCGTTCCCACCCATGTTAAAACTACAATCGGCTTCCTGGGATGTACGTGATAGACTTTGATCGGCAAGTCGAGGGACTGCGCCTGTCTAGTTAGGAATGCCACACACTCATCTGGAACGAAGGACACAGCAAATCAGTATGTTTTATGCATGAGATTACATATGCAGGCAAATGTAGACTTTTATCTGGTCTAAGTTATTAAAATTTAAATAGTTATACGCACTAATTGTGCACAACTAATTATGCGCAACATTTAATTTATCATTATGTTAAATTTTCAAATTAATTTGTGCATCAGTCCGTTCAATTTCGACCCTAATATAATCTGTATAAGTAGCATGTTCATAAAGCGTCAACGAGCGAGCAGGATTTAAATTGCTGTTTACATTCAATATACGTCCAATCTTTAAAGCGACCATCCTCGCTGCTTAAAGCATCACATTTAAAGGGTTACATAACGATAGCAAACAGATATCACAAAAATTAATTTCTCCGAAGCTACCAAGCCTGCAATCGTGTGATAATCGCGATAAGAGACGAGATACTTGCTGATGGACGGTAATTGGCTCTATTATCAATTGTAGCCTTTTATCTAGCCCATCAGGAGACCCCGTTATTTGCTACTGTGCGCACGTTATCAAGAAATATAGCGCGTCGTAAATGCGTCAAGCTAAACGGATACGTAAATCCGCGAGTCGCCGTCGTCGTCGTACAGAGGAACGCGAAATTCCGTCACCGACCCGTTATGTAATCCTACCTCCGGACACCGTCTTCGGTCGATTCGCGATTCGGGGCTGCAGCTGCTCGTCGAACCGGCAGAAATTTCCTTTCGAAAATCGCGAAGCGGACGGAAGCGGCAAGCCGCCGCGCCGGGTCGAGTCCCCTCCGATCTGGGTCACGCCGCGGCGCCCGTCGCGACGCGTTCCCGGTCGGGAGGGACGGGCACGCCGGGGACCGGTCCCGGGGACATCGCCGAACGGTCCGGCGGGGTCGGCGTGATCGTGCCGCGACCGGACGCGACGGAATAAAAATAGAAATAACATCTCGCGCGCGCGGCAGGGTGGGGCATGGCAATGGCTGGATAGCGTCACCGACGCTATCCCCAATTCGTCACCTCGCGCCTCGCCGGCGTCGCGTCGCGTCGGGTCGGCCGATTCCCACGGGGAGCGAACGAGCGGACGACGCGCCGTCGACCACTTCCTCGACGGAGTCTCGCGCGCGGAATTTACTTAATGAGGAAACGCGTCGTTGAAGCGCGTGCTTGCTTCGCGACCTCGTTCGCGGACGCGGCCGGTCGGCGTGGGTCCCCCCCTCGCTTTTCCCAGTTTCTTTTTTTTTTTTCCCTCGCGAAGAACGCGGACGACTCGCGGCTTTCTCCCGTCCACCTGATTTCCCCGTGATTTTCCAACCGGACGCGATACGCGCCGCGGACGCTTTTAGACGCGCGTCACAGAGATCTCTCTCCTTCTTTCTGTCTCTCGCTCGCTCTCTCTTTTCGCCCTCCTCGTTCTCGACCGCGATTTAATTCGTTTTCCGAAATTCCACGGACTCCTGGAATTTCACTCCCCGCGATCGCTCACCGTAATCGACGTCCGGCTGCACCGACGGGATCCGCAGGTACTCCAGGAAATTCTCCACAGCTGTTTCGTCCAGTTCGGTCCGCGACATCGCGACTCCGCGGTGGGTCCGTGGTGCGTCCCGTCTGTGCGCCTTGCCTTCGACGACTCTCGCGATGTCTCTACCTCCTCGGAGCCGACGCCGCTTCTTAAAGCCCCCCCTCGCCGTGTCTGTCGGACGCCGTTCGCGATAAGGGCGATAAGGCGCGCGCGTCCAGACGCCACCGTCGGGGCTCGACTGTCCGGTCTCTGACAGCAGACGGCGGCGTCGTGTCGGAGTGCCGCGCGCGCGGGCCACACCGCGGCGCGGCGGCTCTCGCCCAATTGCCGCCGGTTACCGGCGTGACGTCACGGCGACTCGCTCGAATCGTGTGACGCGGTTAGCAACAGGCCCCCCCCGCGCGCGCGCGGGGCCACCGCGTCCGCCACGTCGCGTCGCGTCGCGCGCCGGCCCGGCGTTTGAAATCGCGACGCGTGGCAACGAGAGACGCCACCACGCGACGCGACGACGCGACGGCGACGCGCAAAACGAAGCGTCACGCCGCTCCTTGCGATCCTCAGAGACCTCAAATCCTCCTCGACACCGCCGTCGCCGAGGAGACCGCGCG